TTGATTTTTAGTGGGAGAGAATGTTACAGAAAAGTGATTTGAGGAACTTCCAAGACAAATCGGATATCTAACCCAATTTACTTTTCTTTCAATTAAGAGGCAATCTTGATCTGACATATAAAAAAAAATACCACCATTTTTACATGCATATGTAAAGATGGTATGTATGTAAAAATTGAAGTTTAGATGTTAGATATGTAAATAGAGAGGAATTGAGTGGCATGCATGTAAATTTCCCTAAAAGTATCGGTGGCATACAAGGTTCGGTTCAAGGGAAAGGATATTAAGGAGTAAAGACCAGGTGCTAGAATGCTTAATTGACGGTAAGGATCACCATAGCTGATGTATTTTCTCTTTCAGAAATGCAATCACGGATTAGTTTGTGCATCTGATAAATTCTTTAAAGATGGAACTAATAAAATGTTCAGAGGTGTGGCAACAAGCAACATTACTTGATCTAATCATGATGATTTGGAGCAAAATAAATAAGACAAAACAAAAGAACTCGAGAAAATATTGTGCAAGAAATTAGATGGGGCAACATTACGTGACTCCTCCCACTGCATTGATTTTTCACCTCATATCCTTATTGATAAAACCATGAACATAGGTGATTGATGTGAGGCTAATTATTAGTTTGATGATAACAAAACTAGTCCAGCGTTATGATTACTTTAAATATGTTAAACTTAATAAATTTGAGCTTAGTTATACTCCATTGGATTCATTTAATTATTTAGATATAAGTTCATAGATTATAAGACATATTTTGGATTAAAAATAAATTTATAGTAATTTTCAAAATATTAATTGTAATATTGCTAACCTGGCCAAAATAGTAAATGTGGAAGGCAGCTCAATTTAGCCATAACATGTCAGAGCACTGCCCCCGCCTCAACCTAAGAACTGCTAGGTTAAAGGGTGTTTCGGGAAGCTTTGGCGATTATTAAAGAAATTTTTTGGATATGTTTAAAGGATTCCTTTACCTATAGGTAAAAAATGTTAAGAAAAAAATGTGGATGAAAGAAAAAATCTTCAAAAAGGATTTTCATGATTTTTATCATTTTTTTGGAGAAAATTTAAAAAGATTTCATCCATAGTCAGAGATTTTTTAGGCTTCATAGAGATGACGTCTCTCCATCAATCTCTCCAAGTTTCTAATATTTTGTATTTTATATTACATTGTATCTAGATAAATTTAGTTCAGAGATTAATTGAACAAATTATTTTTTCTTCGTTGAAAATCACCACTAAAGTTCAGGAAAACTCGGCTATGTAATTTCTATTTTTAATATTGTGCCATTTCTTGAAGAACTTGAAAAAACTCTTAATTTACAAAGCTTTAACTAAAACACTCCTATAAGAACAAGTTGCGTTCTTGCCCTTGAATCAACTGGTTTAACTTGTAGCAAGTCGTAAATGGAATCCTAATAGCCATATAAAAGTTTGTCATTCCAAATTTGCTCTGCAGTGTAGGTTTACCTTTTTGTTTATTTATTTAATTTGGATGCAAAAAATGTTATACAGAGAATCATGAATCACATGCTTGTGTTTGTGTATAATAGATGGGGCATTTACATAAAGAACACACAATTTTTACATATATACATATCTAACACCTTTTGATTTTTACCGGAACACACTTGAATCTTTCAAATCACATCAAAACTACCACTATTATTAACTTTAAAAAGTGAAATCCAACGTTTCAAATACAAATGGTATAAATGTAAAAATTTTGGTTAAGGGTATAAATGTAAAAATTGTGGTTAAGGTGTTAAATATGTAAATATATAAGAATTGTGAGGTACGTAAGTAAATCTTCCATGATAGATTCATTTACTTGTACTCTAAGATTACTCTTGGACATTAATACACATCTTTAGATCATCGTTATTTTTATAGACAAATATGAGGTTTTGGAAGCTCAACACCTCAACACGTTTGTATGCCTGCACTATTAAGTTGTTGATTTAATTATTTACAAATTTATGTGCAAATAGTCTAGAGTGAGATATTGTATTTATTGTGCAAGAAATTAGATCAATCACATAATAGCCTAACACATCTGGATTTTGAATACCTACATGTGTAGAGTATTGTAAGTGTTTTAATTTAATTGATTTAATATCTAATTACTTCTACGTGCTTGAATGTGTGCATTTTGAACCAAAACTAAAAATTAAAAAAAAACAAACAAAACAAGTCATCCCATCTCTCTCGGGGTGTTTATAAGCTATGTAAAAGAATTTTTGAATTGAGACATTAAAAATATCACAAGAAATAATGCACAGCTCTCACCTGCTTCCCTGTATTGAATGGAATATACTTGTATTTGATCATGTGCATAATCTGCCGCTTCATTGTCAAGAAGAAAAGAACAATCCAGTAACAAAGAAGTATGGGCCAAAACACAGGAACGTCAAAGACGGAGAAGAAGGACATAACAAACGCAATGCAAATAGCTTTTGTTATGGAGTACCTGAAAACACAGCCAATAGAACAATAGTGAAGCATACACTCACTACTCAAGACAAAGCATATGATTGAAAATATTTTTGCAAAGTATGCAGAATCACAGAGGTTATAGCCATATAATCTTCTAGCAATGATCTTCAAAAGGACATACAGCCTAAATTAGCCAAAATTGATCACATAAAGAACTTTGTTGGACCATGATGATGCTCAATTGGCAATACAAATAATTTGTATTAAATCAATCATCTACTCCTATTATAAAAATAAAAGAAAGATAATGTCCAATAATTGTATACAAATATAATCCTATTAGAAATTAAACTGGACTCAAATCAAACATACGTATAAATTTAAACACCATATTATACAAAGATAATTCAACCTAATTAAACAAACTAAATAAAATTTATAGGAAATTCCTCCAAAAATGAAAGTGAATTTAAGAAAACCAGAAAGCTTAGTCAATTCAGTTATTTTGTGGTTGTATTTTACTCGTTCTAATCAGCATCTGGAAAAAAAAGGCTAAATTAGTTGAATTACCAAGCATCAATTAATTCGAATAGCAAAGAACTCTCATCCTAAAATGCTCACAGAAGGAAAGCAAGGAGAACGTGATGACGCCTATAAGTCATTTGATTGAAGAGTTAACAGGAGGAAGTCCAAAGAACCAATAGAAATTTGGTGAATTGGGTGTTAAGCGGCTCCAAACTTCATTAAACATAAGTGAAATCTTTGAAATGCAAATCAACATTGAGGGTCTGTTTGGGGCAGCTGCATTTTATCCAGCTTATCCAGATAAGTTGTTTATCTTTATAATCTGGTGATAAGCCGCTGATCCGAATAAGCTGTCTGTCTGTTTGGTTTGTGAGTTTAGAAAATAGCTGATTTTGGATAATGATCATTCTGCCCCTATTTTGGATAAGTTGTTTAGTTATTTGATTTGTGTGTTTTGTAAACAGCTGATTTATAATTTTTTTTAAGGTAAATAAACAATCTGGCACGCAGAAGTTATTATATTTTCAACAAAACTGCAATCTCTACCCCTTTAAAAATATTTTAGAACTAATTAAACCCATCTAGTACTAACAAACATAGGGTGGTGTATTTCTATGCGTAGAATGTCCTACCGAACCCACATTCCAGATGAAACCAGATGATGGCTATTGTGTGAAAGATGGTATACCACTTGGGTTGTGCATGCCGTGGGAATAACAATGTACCCAAACAAGTAAATGACATGAATATGCAAAAGTAAACATTTCCTAATCCCGAGCACTAGAGGTAAAGACAGGCACTATAGAATTACATTGTCTACCATTATCTCAGTACCTATCATTCGCAGTGCTGCAAAAAATAACAATACATAGCTCTTCAATCATACTAATTCTTCTACCAAAAAAGGTTGTAGCTCCCTCTACCATATACTTTTTCCAAAATTAGGCTCCATCAGAAGCATATCAGTACATTGTATTGTCCCAAACTGCCTCAGGACACTATCTAGGAGGTGTCAATCAGCTCTAAGCTAACAAGTCAGCTAAACATAGATCTGCCAAATTGCAACTTCAATAAAAGTATGATTCGTATGCTATATGACCCTTAGATCACCCATGCAAGGTTCAGAAACATGAGTTATCACTACAATTAGTGCAACACGACATGATGAAACTCAAAGTGGAAAGGTCCATTCACCTATTTTCTAGCAAATCATCAATCTCAACCCTGTAAACCGCAGCAGGTCGCAGTAATGGGTCATTTCAAAATGTGCGTAAGCAAGGCCCAAAACAAAAAGTTATATGATTTTAACCTTCTTATTAGCCAACACACACTAAAAATATACAATCAAAATTTCAAAATTAGAGACCATAAGTTGGGCTATTAAAGATCGAATCTCAAGTTGATCTAACCCCGACACAAGATAGCTCAGAATCATTCATTCCACCTAACGTCTAGCAAATGCAATCAAATATCGTGAGCTAAGCAAGGTCTGGCGCATTGAAATAGATCTGAGCTAAATTCTTGAACCAAAATTCGTGCTAATATGCACACATCCAGTTATCAAGAAACACCAAGAAACACCCATACATGAGATGCATAATTCCATACATGCACCAGTAGAAATATTTAAAGAAAAAGACCAGGCATCGCTCTAAAAAATTCTCCAGGGACAAAGGGCATCTTCACAAAGCAGAGAACTTTAAGGCTTGCCAAAACAGAAAATATTAGATTATGCAAGAAATAAGCATGGCGTCAATTAAGCAAGCAATCAAACATAAAATAACATCCAGAAGAGTTGAAGTAACAAATCAAACAATAAAATTCGAACAATCCAACAAAAAGGGAGAACTATGATAAAAATAGAACTTGAGACTGCCGCTGCAAGAACAGGGGGTCTCCAGATTCTTGTTATGATCCTCCTCCTGGCAAATGCGGCATTCTACCATCGGAATCAGCGGAGCATCTACTTTAGAAAGTACATTTTCCTCCTTCACAAAAGAAGAAGCTGATCGATCACCATGCACCACCGTCTCCATCGTTCGTGGAGCTATCAAATGATGGAGACGTGCAAGAGGAGGAGGAGAGGAGTGGTGAGGGGACTCGGATCGGTCCGGGAGGAGGCGAACGAGAGTCGAGTGTCAGGGCAGAGAGTCGTGGATCGTAATCGAGTGTTAGGGCTTTACTGTAAATCGGTCGAACGAAATGTGGATCGCCGTGTCCTACCCGCGATCCGCGTTTAAGAGAAACAATGAACAGGACTTTTTAAAAACGCCTTCAAAACGCTTTATTCAAACAATCGGTGGCGTTCTGTGAATAAGCTCCCCCAAATGCACCCTGAATTAGACGATTCTAATGATAACAGAAACACAAACCCAAACCTTTAGTAAGATTAAATAAAGCAAATTATAAAAATATAAAAAGCATGTATCCTTAGATTATATAAACAAAATATAGCCAAAAAGTTTGACTTGGGCACGATAATTATCAGGCTCAAGCACTTCATCGAACCAAAACCTAGGATTGACCTTAATAATATCTCAGTCCTAACCTCAAGTTAAATAATAAAATCAAATACTGGGAGTATAATTATCCTCAAATTCAAATTCAAATTCCTCATCAATAAAAGGAGTATCAACATAAACATCTTGAAAAAATTGACAACAAAAAAAGATCGCATGGGCTGGAAGATAATTTTTTTAAACCTTGGATAATGAGAATAATACTAATTATCAAATCCAGCATTGCAATGATATGGCTTAAAAATACTCGTATGGGAATAATTAATGTGGCGTATGTAAGAGTGAAGAGATATTAAAGAGCATTGATAAGCAGAATTATTTGAATTAAATGTATTTGAATGCTTTACGCATATATATATATATATATATAGTTTTCATCATGAGATCTACCCGTTAAAAAATTCATTATTGTTATCATCTTGATTAATTTTTAATTCTTCTATTTTATTTAAGTAATATATGGTATATTCTCTAATTATTTCTAAATATACATATTGATAATAATTTCTTCTAATTTTTGCTTTTATTTCATCAACTTTCTCTGTTAATTCTTTATTTTGCTAATTCTTTCTTAAATTTTTCTAAATTATCTCTTCCTATTTTTTCTGTTATTTCCTTAATTATATTATCTTCTATAGGTAAGATTACCGACATTTTTAAATCTTTACTGATTTATATTGCAATTTAAATCTTCTATTCTATTTATGAAATATCTTGTATATTTTTTAATTATCTCTAAATAATCATACTGATAATTTCTTCTTATTTTTTCTCTAAGTACTTCAACTATTTCATCTATTTTTTCAGCTATTTCTTCTCTTAGTGTTTGTAATATATCTTCTTTGCCTGTTATTTTTATTACTTCTTTAATTATGTTGGCTTCTATAGGTAAAATTACCATTTGTAATTCTCTAAATCTATCTGATAATCTTTGAACCATTGTTTTAATCTTGAAGTATTATATTATATAAAATTTCTAATACTTCAAGTAATGATGAAGATATATAGCATATTATTTTAATTATTTTATCTTTTTTTTCATTAAAAACTTCATTTTTATTTATTTAAATATATTCAGTAAATTTAAGAATAAAATCAGTAGATTTAAGAGCTTCCCCTCGGGACGAGCATATCCGCAATTTTTTTCATGGATCATAACGCTTTATAATTTTAAATTTAAACATGCTCCATTTTTCTGACTCCATTTATGGCATAAGACGAACAAGAATAACATATACCTCCTAAAATCTTCGTTCGGAATGTAACTCTTTGATGGCACAATTGCTTGCCCTAAAGCGCCACAAAGGCATAGAACGGGACTTACAGCCCTCTATCATCTACAACCATACTAGAAGACTGTGGTCATAGAGGTTATTAGCTTATTGCTCATACTCATAAACTTCATCTGTACTCCGAGAACAGAGATCTAAATTTAAAGAAAGAATTAAAATCTCATGAAGAAAATTACAGATTTATCCTCTGCGGGGAGAAACTAAAGACTACTCACGCAAATCCATGTCAAAAAATTTGCTACAGTAACTATAAATTACTTTGGCTAAATAAACATAAATTAGCTACTGATTACTTTAATAAAAAGAAAAGAAAAGTAGCTATTGATTACTTTGCTAAAAAGAAATAAAAGTAGCTAAATATTAACATGGCTAAAAATTTATGTAGCTAAAACATTACGTAGCTAAAGAAAAGAAAAGTGGCTACTGATTACTTTGCTAAAAGAAAAGAAAAATAGCTAAAAATTAAGTAGCTAAAGAGTTACGTAGCTAAATCATTATGTAGCTAAATAATTAAGTAGCTAAGCATTAAGTGGCTAAAGAATTACGTAGCTAAAAATTACTTCTAAAATTTTTTTAAAAGAAAACTTTTGAAAAGAAAACTTGCTACATCTTTATTTGCTTACTAAAAATATTTACAAACCATTCCTACATGATATAGATGTACTTACAGACTCTTGACCTTCGCAAGCACAAAAGAG